ATCTGACCCTTCAATTTTGTCGCTAGATCCACTCGGATCATAGATCTGGCTCCCCAATTTTGTCGTGAGATCCATTGGGATCATAGCTCATAGGTGCTCAAAATGTTAACAACTTTCTTTCATAAGAAGTTATGAATACCAAAGTATGGTTAGAAACAAACAATCTTACAAAGGCCATATTAGTAAATCATCCAGTTGCATTATACAGAATACAAAATAAAGGAGGCTCATGACGGTCACAACTTTAGAGAATTGAGTGACATGAAGATTGTTCACATACCAACAGAAAAGTTTGCATTAACAATTAACATAGAGGTAAGTCAAAGTAATGACTAATGAACAATACATTACTAGGTACCTACTACCTACCACATCACAATTCATGTTAGAATCTACATAATGATATTGATAAGACAATCTTGCATTAGACAACCATGAGGCTTTTCAGTTTCCAGCTAACACAATTGATTGATAAACAATAAAGGATGATACTGACACATGTGGCTTGGTTAGGTAAAGGTATTTCAATCTATTCATTATTGAAAGAAATATTTGATAAAATAAACTGAGATATAAACAAAAGTATAAAAATATTCAACAGCCTGCGGAAGCGGCGGAAGCGATGGGAAGAGAAATATAATTGTAATGGCCTTGGATATCTACCGTAAAATGATTATTCAGTATCTAAAAAGAACTCGTGACGTCATGTCAAATAACAAATGAGCTAACCGTTCTACCTTCGAGTATAATGAAAATAAATGAAAAATCAAACTGGAAATTCAAAAGTCTGGAGTTTTTTCAAAAGAATGTTCATTTTGTTTCTGCCTCACATAATTTTACGATACGATTGTTTGTGAATATCATCTTGATAGCGTTGAATTTAATGACGTAAACGTAAGCTAAAACGGTATTACATGGCCTTGAGCCGGTGTGCGCCTTGCATCTTTATTTCATTCACTTTTCAAAAGAATCACAATATCTTACGTCATAAGTTTGAAGGGCCTATTACTGGGAATCTTTTGGAATCATTACGGGTTTAGTCAAATTAAGATTTTTCATTGGTCAAACGATAATGACGTAATAAAACAATATTACCAAAACGTGAGCTGTGAATTTCGTTTGTCTTTTTTGGGAGGCTCTCTCATAACGAAAGCACAGCATGGCACCACACGTGGCACAATGCCAAAAGTAGGTAATCTGAAGAAGTTGATGCCATTTTTGAACTTGTGATTTTATTAGGAAGGTATTAGAGGTTGGTTGCTATTCTTACTAAATCGAAATTGTGTTGCACATACTAATAGCTCATACGAACATTCTGAATTGGGATTTCATACCTGGCAGAAGTGGATTGCTGGATTATTTTTAACAAAACTGACCTATTTGGCTTCCAGGTTTGATTTCCTAACATCTGTCCATAGGCGGCGGAACAGGGGGGGGGGGGGTTGGCACCAGGGTACAGTGCCCCCCATAGATTGATTTTGGCATTTTAACATTGGCCCTACTGGCTTTGCAGTTCGCATGGAAAGAATGGGACCAAAATGAAAATCTGCAGTGCCCCGCTGCCACTGCATCTGTCTGTACTGTTTGTTCATTGAATTAAAGTGGCTGTAGCTTGTTGATAAGATTGTCATCAGTGCTGTCATGAAAAAGTTACAATTGGTCACAAAAAGTAGCAATGTGCATGTTCTTGGTTTATTTTAAATGTAGTATAAATGTTGATTTAAATTCAAATTTAATGATGATAGCTAATGATTACAACTGGTCTTAACCATGTCCACAAGTGACAATTCTCAATTGTATTGCACTGTAAGGTGTACAATTATGTAGGATAAGGGTTTCATTGGCTACATGTTGTCGTGAGATCTATACAGATAATAGGTCCTCCACAAATTTTTGCCCGCTGGATCCACAGAGATCATAGATCTGACCCCTAAATTTTGTCGAGAGATCCATTCGGATCATAGATCCAACCCCTGAATTTTGTCGAGAGATCCACTCGGATCATAGATCCAACCCCTCTATTTTGTCGAGAGATCCACTGAGATCATAGATCCAGCTCTCGGATCCAGGCACATGTCTGGACGCAGCAGACCTGTAGGTAAATATGTTGTGACGAGTGTCTAGCATTTTGGAGTATTGACCATTGAACAGCTATAAAACATCGCAAAACACAAACTGTGTTTGTTGACTAATGACTTGTTGCAGCTAAAGCGCACACCAAATGCCAAGGTCATTTCGCGAACAGCTACAACAACAGTGACCAAGGTGGTTCCACAAAGCGACATTTTTAACGACAAAGTTCAGAGTTGTTAACCCTCGCCCGCACATGGGGGGGGTGGTTGCCACCCCCCCCCCCCCCAGGCAGTCTTTCTGCTCTGCACTCAACATTTTTAGAGCTAGAAGGCTGATTTTTCGTATAGCTGCTCCTCTATCCTTTTTTGATGTCCACTGAAAATTTCAAGTTTCTGTGATTTTTGGTTTCGGAGATATGACCTTGTTTTTCAGGTCATGTCATGACCCAAATGGCCAATTCTCAACATCTTGCGTTTGCCATGGGCCTTGTGAGCTTTTGACACCCTGATTTCGGCCTTTTTTGCCAGTCTTACCTCCCACCTATCATGGAACATGTTGTTCGACGATGTACAGGGGTCAAGGTCAGGGTCAAGGTCAACCTAGGTCATCTAAGATAATTGCGTTTTAGGCAAGCTGAATTTACTTTTTGTGAAGTTTTTTGACTGCATTTTTGGTAAAAGCTTCTCAGATCATGATTTCATGTGATATGGACCCAAAAACAATCGGTGCACACATCAGTATACACACAGACACACACAGACATACAAACACATATAATTGACCTTGACCTAACTTGACCTGAAATGACCTCAGCAGCAAAATTCTGGTCGGATAGTGTGACAAAGAGGTTCTAGCTGGCTTGGCACCAGAAAACAGCATCGTCATCGGTATTTGATAAGCAGCGCACTTGATATCCAACGGTGACCCAAAACAGCAACATTTTTTAGTTTGACCTGACCTGGAAGGTCAATGACTGACCTGAGAAGGTAAAACTGGGTATCATTGGATTCGTCTCTTCCCAAAGAATCTTTTTGGTCTTTACTGCTAAGCTCTATCTCCAACAGGAACGAAATGGCGCGGGGGGGGTGTCAACCACCCCCCCCCCCCCCATGTGCGTTCTAGGATGGGAAAATGGCATGTGCGGGCGAGGGTTAAAGGTAGTGTGCCACCTTTGAAAGATTTCCCATTTTATTTTTCCTAGGATAAGAAGCTTCTGTTTTTACCTAATATCGCAAAAAAAAATCAAAAAATGGGCCTGGAATAGTGCCTTTTTCGCCTAAAAGTTTTTCGGTTTTTAGATATGTATAACAACTGTAGTGGGCTCACCTGCAAACAGGCGTCGGGCAACAATCGCGAATGCGGCGCACTTGTGACAATAAGCAAAGGTCATTATAGTGTTACGACCATACGACGTACGGGAATGAGTTATCAGCTGTCTAATCGTAGACAACACAATGTCGAGCCTTAAACTGTAAGCCCGTATTGGTATTGTTTCTTTTATTTGGCTGTCGAACATTATTTATGGTTTGAAATATGATTTTATGTAAAATAATTGATATGAAAAAGCCGTCTTATAAGTTATGACCCCATTTCACCACACGCAAGTGGCAGAAATGACAATGATCAGCTGACGCATTTTTCTTGGCCGAAGTCAGAGCGCGCGGCCCGACGCACCACGCGTATTTGGAAATTCCGACCTCGACGAGCATCAGAAGCCACCTAACAGGCGTGTTCGAAACCGCAGGAGATGATGATGAACGGGTTTATCGAAACTTGATTGGAAGAGCATATCGGTAATAGCGATTTCAGTGTGTGCATTTATTGTTCATAGTGGTGTGAAATGTGGTTGGGGTACGACCGACAACCCGTCGGGGCGAATTTCGCACTGGGGTACTCAAAATTTGAAAAATTTAAGACGTTTCCATGAGTTTTGAAGGTATGGATAAGTTCTAAAAATCCGGTTCTCCTTATCTGGGCCATTAACTCCATACGGTCCAAGAAAGCTGGCACACTACCTTTAAAGCTCGCAGGAAGAACCAGTAACAGCCCGCCGGAGGTTTTAAGTTTTCTGCTAACAACAGCGGTGTTTATGTGCGCTCTGTGCTTTTCATCCTGTTTACGAGCGGCTTCCGAGCTCCGGTCAAATCAGAAGCCACGGCCGGACGCGCACAGAGCCAATAACAGAGGCAGCGCGCCCGGGAGGTCCTGGATTCCGCTCAGAGCCGAGGAGCGCCGCGAGGCGCCCGGCCGCCGGCGGCGCGCGGACCAATCAGAACATTCCTGGTCGCCCGGCTCCTGATGAGTGTCAGTGGGGTGCGCTGGCACTCGCCACCGCTCGGCTGGGGGCGACAGGAAACTCCCCACCTGCGCGGCGACGGCTGCCACCGACAGCAGTGATGCCAGTTGGTCTCCACAGAATCGGTGGGATCAGGATTCCAAACGAGTGTGTCAGATCGAGGCCTCACTGGTAATGGAAAGCCTGGGAAAAGATTTCAGATACAAGCGGCTGTGTCCAGCGCCAGAGCCGTAGCTTTTCCACCTCCGACAGCGAAGTGTTGGCTGACTACATTTGTCACCAAAAAACGATCAAATTGCCAAACTCAAAGTGTCGCAATAATACAGAGCGTCAACTTCAGCAAAAACACCTCTCCGATGCTAGTGAGGGTGACATTCGTCCCACGAACACATCCAAACTTTCAAAGGAGGCAGTCGGAAAAGCTGCGGCGTAAATGAGCAATTCCAGAGGATGGAGCGGCATTAGTCATGCTGTGCCGGGCTGCGACTGACACTTGGGCAGCCAGTGCTCAGTGACGCGGCCCGGCTGCGGACGAGTTGCGACTGACACTTGGACCGCCAGTGTTCAGTGCACCGGTCGCGGAAAGTCCGCTCGCCCTGCGGCCACGTCCGCTCGCCCCCGCAGCACCCACCTTTATGTTTTTGGTCGACTCGAAGCCGTCGAGCTGGTTGAGCAGCTCGAGCATAGTTCGCTGCACCTCAGAGTCTCCGCCGGAGCCAGACTCGATTCGAGTTGAGCCGATGCTGTCGATCTCGTCCATGAAGATGATGGACGGGGCATGCTCCCTGGAGAGTCACAAAGACACGACAGTCAACAAAGGGGATGGGTTGGTAAAATAGCGAGTAAAGTGCAAAGAGCCACTGCAACAGATTGACGGCCACACTTTTACATGGTGATGATGATGATGATGATGATGAATTGGGGTTTTTGGGCGCCCGGACTACAGTGGTCATCGGCGCCCCTTTTGCATGGTCCCACCTGGATTGCGGGATAAAAAAACACACACCTAAAATACACACGAATGAGAAAGGTGGTTATGAACCAAGTAGCATGAGCCTGAGATACAAAAAAAAATTATATTTTAAAGGCATTCTACATAAATGAACATTTCAACAGATGACTTGTGGCTTGTGCAATACCACGCCTGAGAAACTGGTAATATTCAAGCAGTGTCAAACGAAACTCAGCCACCATCCTTCAATTCAGCCCCATTGGATAGCAGCCATTACCCCAACGTACCCGCAGTGCCATGCCTAAACCTAGACAATGCCACCGCACCTATCTAACCGTACTTCTGCTATACAGTCGCCGCCAGCGCCACCCAATACTCAGTACTACCCACAAGAACCCGGCACCGAAATACGCGTCTCCGAGAACCAACTCCTGCAGCGTAAAGTCCAACTGCACTAATCACGGCGGTACGGGCCGCGGCCGCCGCGGATCGCGCTTCTGATGGCGCTGTTAATTAGACTAGGTCGGCGCGCGCTGGCAGACGGTGCGCTCCACAGCGCCCCGGCCGGCCGCCGTCGCTGAGTTAGGGTGGCGCGGGGGCCGTGTCGGGCAGATTATATGGCGGAGCGCCGGTGTGAACACCACGGTAACGACATTCCCCGGCCGCCCGGAGTGACTCCGGCCCGCTGCCGACGGTACTGGCTCGCGGTGGGGGTGGAGTGGGGGGGGGGGTCAGAGGGGTGAGACGCTGAGGGAATACAGGGGAGAAAAAGCGACCAACGAGAGGCAGTGGGTGGTCAGAGGATAGGTGAGGGGGAGAGAAAGCACTTGTTTTATCAGCATATCACTGAGCGAGTTTGTGTGAGCGAGTATGTCGCAAAAAGCCGAAGGGTATTGGAATTCCCTGTACTTAGCCTCGCAAGGAAATGTGATAAGCAATGAGTAAAAATAGATGGAGTGAGTGAATGTGAGTGAGCCGCCGATCGTCAGCCCCCGTAAGTCCCCCGGCCCGCCAGCGCCGACCGCCGGCGTCAGCCCGTCTCACGGCGTTCCTCCCCAGAGGCCGGTACCGAGAGAGCCGACTTGCCAATCCAACCCTGTTTGTAGGTGAGAGCACGACAGTAATGGAGGCAGCAACCCGACCTCTGCCCGCTCTACATTATTCATAGCGACATTAGCATATTTGATCTGCATCCAAATAGCCAACCGGCGACCGTAAAGCACTTTAACACGATGAAAACCATTGTTGGTTTCCCACAGGGAAAACGAAGCCTCGACTCAAAGGATATTCCAATCCGAAGCACGGTGTGTGGTTGCGTTTTATGCCTGCCGTAGTTTTGCTGAAATGAATTAAATTTCATGCAACATTCAATTCCATTAGAAGTGAGGGTAAACACAAAGTGAAAAACTACCTAAAAAGCAATGAGGTTTACGAATATTACATCTAGCCAAACTTATATTGATGCGAGCAAAATCGATGGAGGCCTTTCCTCCGACAATCAGGACTCCCAACACGGTCCTGCCTTCAGGCTTTAGCTCAGTGTATCCAGGGCTGAAACGGAGCAGCTGGGAGTAAACACATTCAATATGCCTCCACTTCAAACGGCGACGCTTATTATGGCATCTGTTGAGCACCAGAAAACGGTTGCGGTTGCGGTTGCGGGAAATACAGGGCCCTACCGGGAGCACCCGGTGGTTTGCGGGGTTCAGGTGCACCAGAGGTACTTGGTGGCTGCTCCAGTCCCTACCCAGCGACAGTGCAGAGTTCTCGTCGGGGTAATCCGAGAACCGTTCAGTCCTCAGCGGGAGCTCCAACGACTGATCCAATATACCAAGAGGAGCACTCAGTCACCTGATGCCTTTCTCAGTACCACGCAGAGGCACAATGCGTTGTGTTTTATGGAAGGGATTGTATTGTGTGCAAACGTCTTATAGACAAACTCTTAGGACGAAATCGTATTAAAAAGTCGAGAATGGAAAACAAAAATGACCCGAGACTTTCAGTCCGATTGTTCGAAGTGTGTCTGGAGACCGTCAAGTGTAAGAAAAATGGTCATCGCAGTGTATGCAACTGGCATTGAAGAAACTTTAGATGCTACAGAAAAAGTATGGTACGCGGAACGCAGGAACGGGCAGGGCTTGTCCTCATCCCACGCAGGTTTGGTATGGCACGAGCTTACACCCGGCAGACCCATTAGGGCACGTCCTAGCTAGCTGGACCTGGAAAGACAGATCCTACCACGCTGGGCCCAGTGTGGAATACATCCTGCTCTCCAAACAAAGGAACCGGTGAAGTCCGACCACGCAACTCACCTGGCCATGACGAAGAGCTCTCGGACCATGCGCGAGCCCTCGCCGATAAACTTCTGCACCAGCTCGGAGCCGGAGACGCGGATAAATGTGCAGTCGGTGTGGTGTGCCACGGCGCGCGCCAGCAGCGTCTTTCCTGCGCCATACAAACCATGCGAGTCAGTCAATGGTTAAACGAGTGGCCACTGTCATACTGTCATAGCCATCAAATTTAACTCTAGTTACACCTTACCTTGTTTGTTATGTTCATAAATGAATCGTGTTCAATAATGTTCACCGTTCAAGATCGTTGTACAACGTAAAAATAAATTAACTGTTATTTTATTTTAGCTGAATTTTATACCAGTAGCAGAAGCAACATATAAAAATGACAGAAGAAGCAAACATATGAAAACAAAGTAACGCAGAAAAATGAATAAGCACCCAAGCCTATCCGTCTTCACCGACCTCAAACTGGCCAATACAGCAGGACGGTCGGTTGGCAGACCATGACCGCCGAATTAAGGTCCAGCACTCAATCACAGCGCCGCCCGCCAGCCTCCACCAGTGGTTACCTCGCTCCCCGCCCGCGGCGCCACCGTACGCACCTGTGCCGGGCGGCCCATAGAGGAGCACTCCCTTCGGCTGGGCGATGCCGAGCGCCTCAAACAGCTCCGGGTGCTTGACGGGCAGCTCGATCACCTCTTTGATCTCTTTGATCTGTTTGTCGAGACCGCCGACCATTTCGTAGGTGCTGTCCGGAACTTTCTCGACCATCATCAGCGAGACAAGAGGGTCCACCTGATGGAAAACGACGAGTTAGTAGGGTCAGGTCGGGCAAGTGCAGGTCAGGGCAGTGCACAGCAGGGAATGACAGTGCAAGAAGGACAAGACACATGGCATGATGCCAAAGAGGGGATGAGCTTTGGGCAGGGCAGGGCTGACAAGAAAAAAGCGGAAACCTCGGATAGAATAGTCCGAAACATCATTCGATTTACCATCCACACGGTCACTTTATTGCTATGAACGCCACGAAAATGTCACGAACGGTACGTGCGATACCTACCATACCTGTCAAAAAGTACGTGACGTATCTCAGATTTACGGACAATACGCACGGCATCGTAGTTTCCCGTCATAGACTTAAAACCAACTATCCTGACACGTGGGTATGACGAAGGCCCTGAGCAAATGGCGTCGCCTATTCGAGCCATGCCTGACCTTGTTCGGTAGGATCTTGTGCAGTGTGTAGCTGTCGTTCCGCAGAGCCACCCGGCAGTTGGGCGTCACATCGTTGATGTCGATGTTCTTGTCGATGTCCACGACGAACTTTCCCTCGGGGTGCACCTTCACCAGCACCTTCTTCTTGTCCATGGGCTTGACGACCTCGCCCACATAGCTGCCCTGCTCCTGCAGTAGCTGCAGCTCCTCCCGCAGAAGACGGACTGGAATGGGAGGGGAAAAGGTCAGTGGTCAGTGATCACTCTCATACGACAGTCGACAGGATGACAGGGTATGATCAACATATCCGACCAATGCCTATGCCCAGTGACCTTGCCAAAAGTTACAAAAATAGTTACATTTTGTGTCAGCTCTGGCAATGTAAATACACATAAATGTTCATGCTCATAAAATTACAAGGTAAGATGCTGTCAGTATCACTGGGGTCAGCTATATTTGGTCACGTTCTGTTCTTAAGCTATCCAATAGTGATCCATCCAATCCAATACCTATCTGCTCACACCATTTGATTTTCAGCTCATCAATTTCACACATTCACTACGATCAGTACAAGCAAAATATTGTCTCGATTGGTGTAAAAATGCCAAACAATTAACTTGGAACGTCACTCGAGCTAGCACCATCATCTCCACCATCCAGGTGCAAGCTGTGGGCCAGAGGCAGGGAACTACCAGGACGAGTGGATCTCGCTAACTGACCTTTGGCGTTGAGTTCGTTCCTCTGCGCCTGCAGACGGCGCAGGTCCTGGCTCTTCTCGGCAACCACCAGTAGCAGCTCCTCGATCTTGGCAATGTAGTACGGCTTCAGGCCGTCGCCCTTGCCACTGTCCACGTCCATCTGACAGAAGAAAAAACGGGGGTTTATTAGCAAACCCAAGAAAAGGGAATGTGAAATGTGTGTCTCTGCCAAAGATGTGTGCCGAAATCTTTGTCGCAATCCCACCACTATGCCACACATATTCGGCAATCGGAATATCCTATATTTTTCCAGTTTGGTATCTGCCCAGCTGTGCCTAGAATGAACTGTTGCGGGTTGCCTGTTGGCAAGGGTTGACAATTGTGCGGAGTTAGGGTAGCACGAGTCTTCCCTTTTCCACGCCGGCTGCGCCGGCTTGGCTTTGGAGCCGCACCAGACGGCAGAGGTCAAGGTCACTGCTAGGGCGGCGGCGGATTTGCTGCGCCTGTGCAACCCCAACTCAGCATATTTCTCCACCCCTGACTGTTGGTTTAGCTTGGTAGATTTATGTGTGCGTTTTTTTGCGAATTTGCATAATTTGAGTAATATCGTTTTAAAAAAAGTTATTACTAATATAACGTCTGTAATACTTTCGCCAAATTGTCAGGGAACTCAGATTTGTTTTTCAATAGAAAAACACAATTCTAAGGAAAAGTGTTTTAACTATTGGCAACATCCCTTCAATTATTTATTTAAAAGTTTATAGAACTTTTATATTAATTTAAAGTTTATATGAAAAACATATACCTGACTAAAACGTAATGTCATTTCTTTCTAGAACAATATTACGCAAATCACGCAAACTCGCAAAAAACACATGCAGAAAACGCAGTGTAGCCAGACCTTCAGGTAAGTACCTACCACCCGGAGACTAGAATAGCTTTAAATTGTGCAATGCAGTAATGCACGTCAATGCACTCCCAGCTGGAAAATAAAATGCAAATCAATGAGGCAGCTAATGATTATGAAAAGCATCTGAAATAAGAGCAACAATGACAAAAGCAAAAAAAACATGCCAGGAATGCCGTAGGTATGTAATACCGGTTTCCCTACTAACCTTCTCCGGGCGTGGAGCCATTGCCACCGCAAATTCAGTGACAAATAAAAGCAGAGGGTCAATCAATATCAAATGTCACTCATTCGAAAATTACGGAAAAAAAGATAAGGACCCAAACTTCAAAAATATCTCTTCAGAACCTCAAATACTCAAAGAACCCCAAAAACTCGTCGGCCTTTGGATCTTTCAGTAGCCGACACAAATCTAAAAATCATCGTCTAGTGTTCTCAGTGAGAGAAGTTTGTCATCAATCAAGCTTATCGCCAGGCAACTTGCAAGTACATAAGTAGTTGCCTGGCAATTTGCGTTTCTGACTATGGACGCTTTTTGATAATGCTGCTGCCGAACACTGCTTCAGATTTATATCGCGCCTTAAATGCCGCCTTTCGTGAAGAGTTGCTTTGTATTCTTATGTGCTGTCAATAGCAGCTTGATACCAAAAATGATTTTTTTTTGTAATAATATGACATTTTCCAAGGGTTTTGTCAATGTCGATAATCATATTCTCAGTTTTCCTTACATTTTTGAAGCTTGTATTGTTTCTTAAATTGTCCGACTTTTAAAATTTTTATCACCGAATGGCTCACCTTCGTTTTGATGTGCGAAAAAGAATACGATTTGCGTACGGTTCAGGCTGCTCTGTGTAGTAGTGCCGTGCATAGCGATTAGCGCGATTTGTTTGCTGTATTTTGCTGTATTTTGCTGTCCATTGCTGTCTTAAATCAGCATTTATAATATACAACCGAGCTTTAGAAGGTGAATAAAGAGCGGCGCATTGAATAGTTTGCTTGATATTTGATTATTTTCCCCATTTATTCTGATTTTACATTATTCTAGTCAAGCAAGGGTAAGGAGTCTGACAGTGTGAGCGCCGAGGCACAGGTTCAAGTTGCTGCTGGGCAAGGCAAAAGTTGCTGTTTATTTTCAATACCTATTTTGTTGTAGTGTTGTATGAATGTATGATTTTTAGTTTTGGTTTTAATTTGTTGGATATTTATCAAATAATTAATAATTAATTTGTTGGATATTTATCAAATAATTATATCATCCCTGTATGATCGCTAATGACCCCTGTCTTTTCCTCCTCACAGCTCTTCCAGTGACAGCCATGGCAGAGGTCACATCACCCTCTCAGCCTCTGGAGCAGTTTGTGCTACTGGCCAAGTCGGCCCGCGGGGCAGCCGCCGCCGAGCTGGTCCGACAGGCTCTGGACGCGCCGGGAGTGTACGTGTTCGCAGAGCTTCTGGACATGCCACACATCAAAGATGTAAGAATTGTTAAGTGTACACACTGGGATGCATGAATGATCACGTTCTTTCCTATTGCATGTAGATGGTTTATTGAATTTCTCGTTGATATCGCCTGTTATATGTTGATGATGGATATCATAGGCATTGACCGTAAGCTAATGACCAAACGTTACGTAATGATTAATGTAAGGTACTGTCATTAAATCATGTACTCAAAATATTCGTAGCATGCCCATGTGCTACACTACCAATCCCAACCTCTGTAACATCTTCACACTGCCCGCCCCCAGCTGGAGTCCCATGCCGAGTACGGCTCCCTGTACCAGTTGCTGCAGCTGTTTGCCTGCGGCGTCTACCAGGACTACCTGCGCCGGCGCCAGGAGCTGCCGCAGCTCAGCGACATGCAGCGACTGAAGCTGCGACACCTCACCATTGTCACCATGTCCACACAGACCAAGGTGGGTGGACTCTGGTGATAAGGCTGGGCTATAAACGTTTGTCTTATTCTTTCTGACTCATTGAGTGGTCTCCAGTCCTTGTCACAATTCTATCCTTCTGACCCCCTCGCACAGGAGATTCTTCTTCGTGTGACAGCCCTCGACCGAGAGGGTACGTCGGTGTCTTTTTGCTGGATCCCTAGCCACGTCGGTATTCACGGCAACGAACGGGCGGACCGAGCTGCGAACCATGCTGCGCAGTATCCGTGCTCCCGCCGATTCCCTCTACCCGCCAGGGACTTTGTACCGGCGGTGGGCTCTTTCCTCCTCGGAAAGTGGCAGGAGGCCTGGAGCCAATCCCACGGTAACAAACTTGTACGTATCAAGCCAGGTTTAGCTACCTGGTTGTCGGCCTCACGCAGATCGCGACGCGAGGAGGTGGTCCTCTGCCGGCTTCGTACCGGGCACACTTATGGCACCCATGGGTTCCTTATCGGCGTTGGCTCCAGGCCTATTTGTACCAGATGTGGTGACCGACTTTCGGTCAGACACGTCTTGGTCGAGTGCCCGAGACTGGACGCTGAGCGATTGCGGTTTTTTGGATTGCGTGGCCCCCAGCTCTCTTTGAGAACACTTCTCCGCGACGACTCCCCTTTTCTCGATTCCTTTCGCCTCTTTTCGTTCATCACGGCCTCCGGGCTTCAGGTGATTTTTAACCCCCGACTTTGAGGAAGATTGGTTAGATATGGGCGCCATATAGCCTCGTTGCTGGTGCGCCCTAAAACACCAAATCATCATCATCATCGTTCGCATGGTATGCGTGATATATGTAATATTACAATATTTAAAGTATCCATGGCAGGTCCAGCTGATCTTCGCTGGTTTCTGCACTAAGTGTGTGATGCATTTGTCGGTGTTTTATGCGCTACTGATTTGTGCTGACCTATATCATTCCGACGTTTTGTGTTTTAGCTGCATCAGTTTGTAAGTGCTCATATGCTCACCCTTGTGCTCGTGCACACCGCTTACTGATACCTAAATGCACTTCTGTCGATTTCAGCGCATACCGTACGCTGATCTTATGAAGGAGCTGGATCTGGACAACACCAGGGAACTAGAAGATGTCATCATAACCGCCATATACTCAGGTACGTTGCGCTCGGACGTCAGAGGGCGGGCTCGGTGAGGTGCCTCTGATGTAACTGTGGTGCAGCATTGTATGTAATGAACCTGCTGTCCTCATGCATTGATGCTACTCTCGAGTGTTATCGCAGCCCGCAGGACGCAGAATATTGAAATCTTAGTGACATAGTTATGCTTCTTGCAAGAAGTCGTTCCAGGGTGCGAGCTTCCCCGGTGGCATCCTAAATAAAGTCCTTTCGTATAATGACTATCTCTTAGGACTTAAACCCATGCCGTTTGCAGTCCCCTTGCAGTTTTCTTATCAGTCATGTGACTGATATCAGTCCCTCCCCTCTGCATTCCCCTCTGACTTGTTTCCCTCTGACCTTCCGCTCTCCGTGACCCACCGCTGACCTTCCCTCCCTCTCCCCTCAGACGTGATCCGCGGCAAGCTGGACCAGCTGGGTGGTCAGCTGCAGGTCGAGTACGCCGCCGGACGAGACGTCCGGCCCGAGGCCGTACCGCGGGTCATAGCCACCCTGCAGGCCTGGTGTCAGACCTGCGACACGGTGATGCAGTGTATAGACAGACAGGTGCAGACGGCCAACGGCGAGCGGGAGGCGCGCGCCCGACACCGCGCCGCCATTGAGGCCAAGGTGAGGAGAACTGGATGATGACAGAGGTGGGCGGATGCTTGTGAGGGGATAAGATGCGTATTTCACCCGGCGGGTGCTGGTCATTCGGACCTGGGCCGATGTGAGAGACATAGACGACTAGATAAATAGAACGTTTTACTTTTGTGACGAGCCGTTTTTTAGATGAGAGTGCTATCAGTGTTGACCGGTGGGATAACTTATGTTAACCAGTCTTATCCCAGTGTTGGCTGTTCCTTGAATCTCTATCAGTGGTGGCATTTACTGGCTCTTGATTGCTGCTTCCCTAAACTGAAACCATTGCTCAGTGGTTATTACGGGGAGCTACTTCAGGGAGGGAGCTACCTACTCCAGTCACTGTCAACACCATTTTACGCCTGTCGCGTCTTTGTTGCGGCTGTCACCACAGTTGTGACGCAGCTCAGTTCTTGTCATCGCCGAAGGGCCTTATGAAGCCATCTATCATAGTCGGGAGGCCGGACATGGCACGCGGGATCAGCTGGATGGCCTTCTCCTCCCCCTCAGTGTCCTGCGAACGTGACCTTTGTGTGACGATCTGGAAACCCGCAGTTCCGTGGAGGGAACGCTGGAGTTCCTTGTTGGCTCGTCTAGCTAGGACGATGACAGCTAACACCGAGCATAAATTATGGTGTCATGTTCGCAGATCAGGACGCTCCACATTTTTTGCAGTAATCAGATGTGTCTTATTTTAGGAACGCGCTCCCTAACTAATTTGTATTCAACCTCCCCAGTTGCATCACATGTACCCTGATCAGATTCTTTGTACGAGAGTCATTGGGCCTCCCAGTGCGCCATCCCATGGAGGACGTTATGAATTATGATTCGGCAATCATGCGAAGTGGACCAGTCCTGAATGTTCTGACGAAAGAATATTCACATCAATTAAGCGATTCCTAGCAGCTTCAAGGGTGGAATAGCATACATGCTTCAGAAGCATGCATTAGCTCTCATATTGCATCAGTGGACCTCATTCGGTCCGCTTTCTAGCCTATCGATGACATTTGGTAGTGTTGGACCCAGAAGGGCGATGGCCTGTCTGTCCCCGCAGCCCATTGTGATATGTCTATCATCTAACCATACAGATTGTGTTACAAGACGGGACCGTCATGTAGATACAACGCCACTGTGAGTTCGCTCCCCTGACGACTCTCCGTGCGTTTCAGGTACAAACAATCCGCGAGAGCCTCAGTGCCAAAGATCAGGACGACCCAATGTCATCCGACTCAAAGGAGACCGTGTCTACCTCAGACCGAAGCAAGAAGGCGAAGACGCGAGCGGCCAAGGCCGGCACCAGTAAATTATGGAAGTCGTGAGGCGGTCCCGGCTGATCTGTGAGGACAGATCGTAGTGCCGGAATGTGATACAGACTGGGGGACTGGGCGTCTGGGAAAGACAGTTGGGCTGGACGGTAGAGCGCAGCCTGCTGATCGCTGTCCAGACGAAAATATGCGTCTGTTGAGGTACGAGGACAGACCTGGCTGTTTCCGAGTACCACACCACGGCAGGTACGTGTACACTCACGGTGTTCGTACAGTAACCGGCGGTACGCTGATGGACGGTGTACAGTGCTTCTCTATGTAGTGAGAAGCTCGGACCGGCAGAACTACCCTCAGTGCACCGTGCCGTGTATGTGTGTGGTGGGGTCGTGAGGAACCCCTTCTGCTGAGCCGAGTGTTAGAAGTGACCTGGCTGTCTCGTACGCTAAATGGTGTGTGCGGACTAAGGTGGGGTGTGTGGTATTTTCGCTGTCAACTCGGAAAGCTGTGTTTGACGATGGTACGGATGATGGTGGGGGAACTGCAGTCTGCCCCACACGATTGAATTGCCCCGGCCCTCGGTGCCTCTGCTAAGATCTGTAATTTGGAAATATGTAGCTCTGAACTTGCAAGATTTATGGTCAACTGCTTGAATATCCCTTCGAATTTGAAACTTCATTTTCAATGTGCACACTGCTGCAGATGTAGGTGGACTGCTTGTCGGCTCATTGAGTCGATTCGTGTTGTAAGGCTGCGCTAAGAGGTACCACCGTGTCGAACAGGGCGGTTTGTCGTCGGTGTGCGGGGCAGAGTTGTGGTTGTAATGAACAGAATAAACGTATGGTAAACAATTTTCTCGGTATATTAGGGCCTACACCAGGCGCTGCTGCTGCTAAAACCTACAGCGAACCTCTGGGAAGATGGCCGGATAGCGGCCTCTACGGTGGTCACCAGCCCTGCCATCTATCGGTCAGCACTCAAATCAGGGTTAACCCAGTCGCTTAGCTGTCTGAATCGCCCATCGATGTCGAAGGATGACTAAGTACCTCATTATTGACGTTCAAGGTTGGCAGAGCTGCTCATCAGTTTTATGAGAACTAAACAGGGGGATTCTATCTTCCGCTAGATGATGTCATGTTTCTGTTTCTAAACGTTATTGCTTTCAGCACGCGATCGCATGGCAGCCCTCTTGACATCCTGATTGGGTAATTCGCAATGCTCAGAAACCAGAGTAAAATGAGTCAGAAGGCGCCTGAGGTGACAGAAATGACTGTACGCGGAAATAGAAGCATCCTCCTTCGACATGTGCGACATCTCAAGCATTCTGAGATGTGTTGTAATAGATATGCTATCATTTATCGAGTGTTCTTAGCAGTACATATCGTGGAACGGTGTCGCGCAAAATGATGAAGTGGGTGCAAGCCTCAGTGTGTGTCTTGTATGTTTTGTGTCTGTAGAAATGCTGTGATAATGCCTAGTGTCATACGTACGGGATAAACCTTCTGTCCTTACTTCCTCACTCTCGGGAGCAGGTAGAATCGTCTCAGTCCTGAAGGAAGGGATAGGTTTATCGTGCTCGGGGGTCCTTTCCATGCGGCAATGTGCTGTAAATGCCCTCACCCTGCCACCTGCTTTTGACTTGAGTGATGACATGTCCTTGTCCTACCTCCAACTGATCTAGATCTCCCATCTAACCGACTTGAATGAGCCTCTCGTCCTTTATGCGAATAATGCTGACCTATTTATTTGCTCTTGCCCAGGCCTGGACCTTCTATGTGGGCTGCTTGGCATTTGAAAGTCGGAAGTTTTATTTGACTGCCTTTACATACATATCATGGTATATGCATTGCATATTTCATAGTGACTTCTCTCTGATGCCTCTTTATGCGCCTTGTTCAAATATGTGTATGCTTGTTTGCATGTGTACCTATGCTATTTACTATGCCGTCTGATGTAATGTGTCGCTAGCCAGCTTTGGATTACATCTGTAATTGTAGCCCTTTTTATTCCCGATCTTGGGTCGCCTGGCTGCTGCCTTGCGACTTGCGAGCCGTGCAATTAGGTCATATTTTCATGACGAAACCTGCGGTTTGGTATGCACCTTTGCAAGGTCGTTTGGTGCACGACTTGTTCCAGGTACACAGGTGTCTGGGAATAGCGCCACTTTTTATTATTTTCTCTTCTACTCTTCTGAATTTACATCGCATTTCAGCACCAATTATCTTCCTAAACCGTGTCATGCATCTGCTCAAAAATGTATTTTAGGTCGCACATGATTGAAGGTGGTATGTTGGATGATAAGGAAACACATAACCGGAAGGGGTATCGTGCAGTAGGTCTCAGTTTGCCTAACAACAGAGGATTGGGGAATGCGTGCTGTGTTGTTTTCCATTCTACGATAGCAAAACTAGCAAATGCATCGAGTGGATGATGTCAAACATAAATCGTTTCCAACGGACGTATTGCTGATAAAGGTAGGCCAAGGGTCTCTTATACAGCATGTCTTTGTCTAGCATGTGTTTTAACCCGAGCATTTGGCTGACTGTGTCTGTCACCGGGGTCGCTGACCTGCACGGGTCACACAGGAAGTGCCGTTGAGGAGGGCAGGCTGCCAGAGCCTCCGACACTGCCCCTGGCACCGCCACAGCAGCAGACGGTCGCTGGCACACCTCACCCCCTCCCTGTCCCCCCGTGAGTCACGCACGGAGAATGGGTGTCAGCAGGAAGGGGTGGCCAATGGAATGTTATTGTTGGTCGCCGGTCGGATGTCCGATGTCGCTTTGGTCGCTCACAGGCGAGAGCTGGCTGATTGCTGACTAGTAGGTGGCATCTGGTTCCTTGTAACTTCTTGGATGAATCAGGTCGAGAGAGAGAGAGAGAGAGAGAGAGAGAGAGAGAGAGAGAGAGAGAGAGAGAGAGAGAGAGAGAGAGAGAGAGAGAGAGAGAGAGAGAAGAGTAGATAGAAAGAGAAGTGTAGAGAGAGAGAGAAGAGTAGAGAGAGAGAGAAGAGTAGAGAGAGAGAGAGAAGAGAAGCGTAGAGATAGAGAGGTAGAGAGAGAGAAGAAGAGTAGAGAGAGAGAGAGAT